CCCCCCCCCCTCCCTCTGCTTTTCATCGTTACGTTCTCGCACGCTCAGACTATGCAAACAACTGCTCGATCATCTCGGCAGTGGAATGGGGGGCTCCGCGGTGGATCGTGGCATGACCGGTTGTTGTTGTTGTTGTTGTTGTTGTTGTTGTTGCTGTTGCTGGTGGTGGTGGTGGTTCTGCATGAAGAACGTGATGGTCGAGGTCGTGTAGCGGGCGTGGCCTTCTTCCAGCTAGAAGCTTGCCCCCTTCTTTACGACCACGAGAGAGAATACGTCCTCCTTCGCCCGACGATTGGCATCGAGAGCGGGCGTGGGGAAGGATTCAGAATTAAGGGGACCGGGCTAAGAGAAGGGTAAGGGGGTGAGATGGTTGTGGGTCGTCTGGTCTGCAAGCTCAGTGAACCCCTTCGTGAAGGCCAACTCAGAACATCCAGTGACGCCCCTGCCAACAGAGGCTGAATACGGTCGGAGGGCTCATATGCTCGCTCATGAACCCGCATCACAAGGGCGTCGGCGATCACTGCAACGGGTGAAAAAATTGCAAGTGTTTGGTCGAGGTCAGCTGGTGAAGACGACAAAACACCGAAACATGCAACCTGTCTGAAAAAAGAAAGGGTCACAAGTGCCTCCAACAGAGCAACACCCACAAAACCGAAGCACCATCAACAGAAACAACAATCAAGAAGCATTGCTACTAACATAACGTCATGTGCTTACTTACGTTCGATTCTCGGGCGATGGGACCCATTGGTCTGCATTCATTTCCACGAAACCTTGAGGCTCGATGGTGAAGAGCTGTCCGGATACCCCCTGCGCGGCGGAAAGCACAGCAACACTAAGCTTCGTCTAAGGAACGTTTCGTTCTGTCGCGCAAAAGAAACCACGCTACCGTAACCACCAGCAACAACCCTGGCAACCACAGCCAGCAAAAAAAACAAAAAACATCACGTTGTGAGGGTGGAGCTCTCTTCACATACGACGTGGTTTCGCAATTTGTTTCGTTTCGGAAGGTCTCGTGTGTGGCTCTATGCTGTCGTCTGTCCCCCCTTGCCCCACTCTGTTGTTGCTTTCTTCCTACCTGCCTGCCGTGTAGTTCTCACTCCTCTGTCTGCGTTTTCTCGGAAAGAAGAGAGGAAAGAGGGACAGAACCCGGTGGGCCTACTGCGCTGCCACTATGAGTCCAAACGGTTGGGACTAACCAACACGGCAAGGAACAATCCCACCAAGTCGAAACTTGTTTTTCGCCAGTACGCGAGGGAGCGATGCCCCGCGCCCCTGAGTGAGACGTTCAGACGTTTTTGTACCCAAACATACATAACATCTTTCACCACATGCACATAAAAAAGATAGTGTGCAGTGACCCCGCAACACCGCTACCTATCCACCACATGCCAAGGAAACCCCGGTATTCCCGCAAGCAAAAGCACCTCCAGATTCCTCAAACACGTGCGCACCTCCGTTTTCTCCATCGTCAGCGTGGGCACCATGTATGTCAAGGCGGCCTTCTTCCGCACATGGAAGTGCACGCTCTTTAGGCGCACGTCGGGCTTGTTGGACATGATGAGCAGATTGTCGGGGATTTCCAGTACCTGCGGTATATAAGGAAGGGGTAGAGTGCAAAGGCAATCCAACAAGGAACAGGGGACACACATTGGACGAGGGACGAATGCCATTCATGTTTGGTCGAATATATATGTATTAGTGTCAACACTGGGTGAACACTCTGGGACGGTGGTATATCTACCTACACCCCAGCACTTATCGGAATACTCCAAAGGCGTGGACGAAATAGAGAGAGAGAGAGAGAGAGAGAGAGAGAGAGAGAGAGAGAGAGAGAGAGAGAGAGAGAG